AAAAAAAAAAAAAAAAAAAAAAAAAAAAAACGAGAGGAAAAAAAAAAGAAGTGAAAAAAATCTTTTTCCTCGTTTCTAAAGTGAAGAAGCCGATTCCAGATTTTGAAAAATATTTCTTATTTTAATTTTTTAATTTTAATTTTAATTTTTTTTTTTTTTTTGCAGATTCAGTGAATCAAATTCATTTAATCAAGGTTTAAGCGAGTTGTTGAAGCCGTAGAAGAAGCACTGGTTAATATGTTACCTCTGCAAGTGCCAGTCTGAGTGATTGAGAAAACAGACCAGTGTGCAATTTTCAAGCGAGCAGTGCATTTGTATAGACCCGTAATGTATCGTTTACGTTATATTTAACACCGGTATTTCACAGCAGTGCTCCACTAATCCTGCAAAAATTTGAACACCGATCAAAGATCGATAACTGCAGTTAGAGCAAAAGATAAAATTTTAAAGTGTCATTCAATAGCAACTTATCAGCTACCTATAAATCAAGAAAATAAGGGAAACAGTAAAACCTTGTGCACCAACTAAACTGTAAAACGTCACTGTACAATTTAAATAAGTTCATAAAACCACTGCATAACGGACACCTATTAAAAATTTATATGACTAATTTAAACAAAGGGAAGAACAAGGAAAGAAAAGACGCTGCATGTTGTCACTTGCAGTAAACGTGTGTTAGTAATAAAAACTGTACAGACTGTTTGTTATTCCTGCAGCAGTTCAGTTAAATAATTGCAATTAGAATTTGAAAAAAATTGAAAGCAAAAAAAAAATGAAACTTTTTCCTAACCTCAGTTGCTAAACATCCCCCAATTTCACTCAGATGAGCTTTGAAAATTACAGTTTACTAGTTCTCAAACCATTCTTTTTCTTAGAAAACAAAAACTAATGGTAAATTGATTTGTTTAAATCCTATTAAATCATGCATCACCTTTCCCTACTTTTTGTCAGTGTAAGTTTGAACAAAAAAAAAGAATGAAAAAAAATACTGAAAAGAAAGGATAGTATGAAAAAAAGCGATCAGAAGAATATATTCTATAAAAGGAAAAGTGACGGTAACAGGCAAACAACAAAAACTTTTTTCTTGAAACAAAAAAAAAAAAAAAGAATAACAGAAAAATCTTTTCAAATTGTTGTACAAATATAACAGCTGTCGAATGATAAAAAAATTTCAACTATTAGAGCAAACATCAAAGTGGAAAGATGAAAAACAAGGATAATTTCGATAGCAAGATTGTCGGTTAGTTAAAACATTTGTGTAAGATTACGTAAAAAATTGACGCTTACTTATCGTAATATTTGGGGGCTGAATGTTGTAGTTTAAATCTAAGAGGATACTGGTTTACTTGCAACTAATTATCATACTTATCACTATCAATGATGCACTACTCCTGTAACTGTTAACGACTAAATCGAAACTAACTTTTGATTTTTGTGTCGGTTTACTACTAGCGGCACTGTTACCGATGTTACTATTGCTGCTACTACTGCCGCTACCTCTACTGTACATGATTTCTCGAGTACCGCTCTTTAGAGTTGTTGGAAGTTTTCGCGCAACATTGCTGTCCACTCCTCTTTTTAAGCTGTCTGATGATGCTCCTTTGCCAAGTGAAGAAGCTAATTCCGACAGGTTATCCTGTATCAGATTCTGTAAACAATCTATCAGCACTTTTAATTCAATCCTCCGACAGTTATAATGAATCATTACATTATAACAGACATCCACAGATATACAATGAAAATGCACCAAAAAAAAAACATGCTATCATCTGAAAAAAATATGTTAAACTTTAATCAATGCTAATCGAGTGTACCAAACCATTTGTTAACTAAAAAAAGATACCGTTAGAGTAGAAAAGACAAAATCTATAAAAAAATTGTTTTTTCTTCATTATTTTATACAATTACGATATGCCTTACTCACCATTTCAATGTATTTCGGGTTCCATATATAGATATAGTAGATGCTAAGTGCCAAGGCTGGTAGTGATACAAAAAATATATAGCCAACAACTGTTCCAAATCGTATCCATCTGAAAGCAATAAGTTTTGCCTGTTTTTTCTTTCATACCTTTATTTTACCACTTTAAAAACTTTGTTAAAAATGCTTCAATTTTACCGATCAAACCAGATACTGTTTATCACTGTGTCAACTGCTTAAAATTATTTTAGCAGCAAAATATCAACACGTCATTTTTGTGCATTTGTACTTTCCATTACAATTTCTCCAGAAAAAGTGTTATATGTACTGATAAATAATAGCACTATTTTAAAGCGCCTTCTTTTCTCGTCTTTCCCTCATTCCTTCAGATTCCTTCGATACCACAACTGTCGGAAAGACCATATAAAAGGTTTT